TAATCTTTTTTACTTAAACACATGCTTGTGAAAGGTGTCTGATCTGCTGCATTACGGAGACCAGTAAGAGCAGATGCTGCACAGGCGGTGAGCCCCGGGGGAATGCCCCTCTGGCAGAAAGCACGATCTGGTCTCTGTGCCCAACTCGACCATCAGCCTCTATAGCAGGAAGGCTGACAGCAGAGCTGGGATTTAAGTGACACAGACACACGGCCACTAGAAACAGAACTGATGCCAAGCCCATTTCATAGCTGCTCTGTGACTGACGCCACGAGTCGCTTTTGGCCACCGTGAACCTGGGCTGGATGCGACTTGTCAGCCCTTGTATCTCATTACTAATCCCCTAAGCAAGCATGCAGCCTCTGCTGGCTAGCCCAGAACATAGCTTGGAGAAGCAGGTGCTCACCTGCCTGGACAAGTCAAAGGACAAGCACTGCCAACTGCAGCCAAATGGAGGTAATAAAGTGTTATGAAGCCCTCCGGGGGCTCTAACAAGCAGTGGGGGGCACATCTCTGGGGCATCTCTGTCGAGCCCTGGTGTATCACTGAGGAACAAACCCTGCCCACTCTGTGCCTACCCGATCCTGGACTCAGAGGACATAGCTGCTTTAGGGCGGTTCGGAGCATGCACCAAGAAGCATGCCCACGGCAGAGCCTGGGAGCAGATCAGGGAGCTCGCTCAGCATGGCTCTGTACCGCATGGCATCTAATTCTTGGCACTGAATATGCATGGAGTGGATCTGAGTGGGCAGAACTGGCTCCTTGCACCAGGCATGGGCACCGTGCACGGATTGGGGATGGAGACCCTGCTCTGGCTTTTCCAAAAATTGTTCTGAGCACCCTCAGCAGCAAGACTGCTGGACAGTGACCAGTGCCGAGTCACCAGCCATGCCCCTGGTGGTGATTTTGCTATTTGCTGAAACAAAGAGCAGCAATTGGACAAAATCAGGCCTCCTGTCACACCAAATGATGAGATTTCAGCTGCTTGAGAGTGCCCTTGTGGAGGTCTGTCGTGGCAATTTGTGGGGCAAGTTATATACCAGTCACAGTGAAAGACCAAAATCCTACAAATGCAGGAGGAAGCCCAGCACGGTCATCCCAAAACGACCGTTGCTTTGTCACTTCGAGTGCAAACGAGACCTGCAGTGCCAAAAAGTAAAAAAGCTGTAGAAACAAGAGAGCTGCTCTTAGGCGCACGAATCCCATCGCCAAGCCAAGCGGCCGTGCGGCCCGCCAGTCCAAAGAGGATCCGAGCAGCAGGTGTCGGGAGCTCTGCAGAGACGGCAAGCTGGCCCCTCCGGGGGAGGGAGGGTCTCCCAGAAAGCATCCTTGGAAAAGATCTCTTTGGCCATCGCCTCTGAGCGTTGCCAAGCTGGGCGCATTCCCCGCGGCTTATTCCCAAGTGTTTTGTCCTGCTTCTAGTTTCAAATGAATCATATGACGGGCTTCCAGGCACCTCCCCTCCAGGAGGCCGTTTCACAGACCAGTACGCATTGCTGCAAGCGCATATTTCCTGTCCTCAGGCCTATATTTGCCCCCTCTCTTATTGACATGATGTTACTTCTCGAGCCCCCCCCCAAATGGTAGTGCTCTTCACATCATCATAGATGGGTATCACATCCCCATGCCTGCCCCAGGGCCAAGCTATAAATATTACTTCCAACCTTCTCTCACCAGTCAAGCTCGCCAAGCCCTCGACTGTCCCTCTCCAGCAACACCCTTGGCTGACTCCCAGAGCTATGTGGAGGGCTGTGTGCATTCTCCTGCTCGCTGGAAAGGTCACTGCGGCTTAGGGTCTCCCAGGGGGGTGGAGCGAGAATGGGAATCCCGTCAGACTGTCCCACAAGAAACAACCAGATTAGCAGCTCAATTTTTTCAATATTCCACTTTCATCCCACCAAAAAAACCCCCCAACTTTTGTTCAACTTCAAGACTTTCAGAAGCCCTGGCAGGCCAGGAACCATCTCTCTGCATGAACTCTGGGCACAGGTTTTGTTCACCAAAAAGGCTTGTTGTGAACAAACAACATCTTACCTGGAATAGGATTTGTCTGCGTCAGCAAGTCACTCGATCTCTTTCTTTGCATCACAATGGGGACAACAGAGATACCATCAGCACTATTTTTTCCTTAGCCTGCTGTGCTCCAAAAAAAATTATTCTAGGAACCTCACAGAGCAGGGAGTAAAAATAGATAATGCAGGTTCAGCAAACGCATCTCGCATTAAGCTCCAAGCTTTTTCACATGGAATAGGGGCAGAGAGTTGTTTTAGTTTTATTAAATTGCAAATATTTACTCAGCAGGGCCAGATACAGACTCTTACAGCTCCCCTGCTCCACTTTAAACGTTTTCAATAATTCAGACATCCCTCTTCTGATAAAAAAAATAAAAAAATAAAAATGATCAAGTCTTCAAAACCAGTAACTGATGTGGGAAGCCTCAAAATATTTACCTTCTCTTTCCTAATTAAAAAAAAGAAGCTTGCCTGTGCACTATCAATGGCATTTAATATTTAACCAGGCCCTAAAGAAGCTTTGAGAATAGGTCAGTGAAGTGGTGCTCAACTTTCCAGCCCCATGAGCTGGACGGGTGGCACACGGCTGGAGTGAGGGTGGGGGGTCGGCATACAGCGCTGGTCTAGGGGTGCCTGCCACCATTCCTCCTGTTGCTCGTGCCGCTATGGGAGCCGGGGGAATATAGGCTCCCCTGCTGTCCTCTGGCTTCTGCTTCCTGCCCTGCTCCTAGGGGCAGGACGGCACAGGAGGAGGGGGTCTGTGCTGCCCACACTTTGCATGCAGGTGTGGGGAGTGGAGCCAAGTTGCTTATGGAAGTGGGAGGGAGGGGGCTCAGGATGCCTGCACAGCGGGAGGATCCCAGGAGGGTCACCGCTATAGTGTGCAGCTTGAGGATCTGTGCCCCCCCGCCTAGATGTTGGACAGCCCTGTTTTAATTAATCCCAGGGAGAAAGAAAATGCCCTAGGAGCACACCACTTTTGAAACCCTCTATTCCCAAACTGGAACCTAGCACTACTTGGCTACAGTTCAGCTTACCGGCCTTAACTAGTACTCCTAAACAACTAACAGGACCCAAGCTTTAAAATAAACCGGCAATGATTTCACTACTTGTGCCTCACCAGCTCAAGTTGCCAGCTGCTGAAGGTTTGAGCGCTTGACAAATGGTCTTGCATTCTCGTCCCCGGCTGGCGGCATGGAGCGCCCAATGGGATCGGTTAATAGGTCTGCCCAAAGGACAGAAATTTGGGCTAGGAAACAGTTAAAAACTGCGAAAGACGACTCGGTGATTCAGGAGCTGGAATCTTGTGGCTGTTCGATGAGATTTAGTTTGCCCGGCACATAAGTCACTTCAGCTCCTACGCCATTATGTACTTGGAAAAACGTTGCCCACAGCCTTTTCCAGCCAGTCCTTTGCATGCTTCATTGTCATGCTGGTTAATCTCTGGTCTACTGGCTTAGTATGACCATTTTAACACCCAGCCTATTTAATGCTTTGCTTCCTACAGAAACCCCCAGAGCAGGAGACAGTCAGATCGCAAGAGGACATCAGCCCATCCTTTCCCCATCCTGGACTGTCCAGGGTACCTCGAAAGCTCTTTTGCACCCCATAAACTCTGCCTATTGCAGTGCTTCCTCACTCTACACATTTCAGGGTGCACAGGCTGGAGACTATTAAGAGTAAAGGACCTGACCATCAGCATCAAGGGCCCGTTCACATCAGCTTCTTGCCGGGGAAATGCACGGCTAGGATGTGGTGGGGACCCTGCGCAACTTTGTGCTTTTGCTTCATCCAATAATTGGCTCTCTCCAGCAAATCCCTGTTCTGCGCCTGCCTACAGCTGATTGTGCCACTTGTTTACAACTTTGCAGCCTGTCTTATGACTGAGTTAAATATCGGTCGCCTTTTTTTTTTTTTTTTTT